TTGTGTGTCTGAAAACTGTAGGTACTGGGGGTATTTATATTGTATTTATTTTTAAAGGGGTACTTTATAAAAAAAAGTTGAGAAACACTGGTCTAGATCATCCCTGATAGATGTTTGTCTAACCTGCTCTTAAATATCTCTAGAGATGGAGATTCCACAACTTCCCTGGGCAATTTATTCCGGTGTTTAACCACCCTGACAATTAGGAAGCTTTTTCTGATTTCAGATATGGATTAAGGGCTTCTCTTATCTAACAGCTGTTGTCTTATTTTCCTGTTCATATCTGACTGTCTGAATTCTACAATTACCATTATTCTTTAGCTTAAACTCTGTCCCTTTCTTTCTCTCTTTACTTCCACCCAAATTTGTTTGTGCCTTAATCTGCAGCATTTTGTTTTGTATTCTTCCCTACTGTAGCTTGTTTTGTGACTATTGTTATGGGATTTAGCAAAAGAGAGGTGACTATTTACTTGGTCCACAGTTCCAGCTGGATGTACCAAAAATCTAGTCCTTAATTTATAAATCACCAGTCCAGTTGCTTCTCTCTGCTCTCATGGCATTTGGGTTGCTACACAGACAGTTAGGATTTATATAGACATTAATAGCTGGAGTATAGCACAGTCGGAAAAAGTAGATGGATTTTAAATGAAATGATCTGTTCACAGGGAGAAAATGGCACTGATGGATACAGTGGACCAGGACAGAAAGGAGCAATTAGCAAAATAATCCTAATTGTCTGTGTAGCATGAAAAACAAGCAATAAATGAAAACTCTTACTTCTTTTTACATTACTTTAGTGATTGTGAAAGCTGCAGGGGAAAAAAATGTTGTTCTGTTATCATCCCTGTCTGTAAAACCTGCAATCCAATATACACAGACGGGCTTCCAGAATCCACCGGTATGGATCATATTGCAAAATTAGAGCCATAGTTTGTAAAGTCACTGGGAGAGGGAGGATTTTGTTTCATTTGTCCAGCAAGTGCCATGTGTACCTGAGCCTACATGTAAACAATAGAAAAAAAAATTGTAAACTCTTAAAGTGAGAGTAAAAGTAGTAATAACCCTAATTATTCTTTATTGTAGTATTATTTTTTTGTTACTGTAATGAGATTTCAATGTTGCCCATACTCAGGAAGATGATATTTTTGCCCCAGAAAGGTTCCAATCTAAAAAGACAAGCAACACGTGAATGGTGCAGGAGAGGGACACGATCAGATTATATATCCTTCCATGGAAATATTTTATATAGTTTATATCTATTTTATAATTAAATAAATTCACATTTACTGCCACTATTTATAAATGAAATGAAGGGAAACATTGTCTTATTAAAAATAATCAGAGAATAGGTCTAATTCATTCCATAAATGCTTCTCTACTAGGGTATGTCTACACTACCCTCCTAATTCGAACTAGGAGGGTAATGTAGGCATACCGCACTTGCAAATGAAGCCCGGGATTTGAATTTCCCGGGCTTCATTTGCATGAAGCCGGCCGGCGCCATTTTTAAATGCCGGCAGTTCGAACCCCGTGCCACGCGGCTACACGCGGCGCAGAGTAGCTAGTTCGGATTAGGCTTCCTAATCCGAACTAGCTACTCTGTGCCACGTGTAGCCGCGCAGCACGGGGTTCGAACTAGCCGGCATTTAAAAATGGCGCCGGCCGGCCTCATGCAACTGAAGCCCGGGAAATTCAAATCCCGGGCTTTATTCGAGGAGTACAGCTAGTTCGGATTAGAAGCCTAATCTGAACTAGCTACTCCGTGCCGCGTATAGCCGCGCGGCACGGGGGTCGAACCGCCGGCATTTAAAAATGGCGCCGGCCGGCTTCATGCAAATGAAGCCCGGGAAATTCAAATCCCGGGCTTCATTTGCAAGTGCGGTATGCCTACATTATCCTCCTAGTTCGAATTAGGAGGGTAGTGTAGACATACCCCTATTGATTCCACCCTTCTTTGAACTGTGAGGTCTCCTATTTTGACATATCAAATCTTTCTCTTAGAAGACCCCTCCTGCTCCTATTAAGGTCAATGACCAATCTTCCACTGACTTCACTGGGAGAAGGTGCAAACTTCTAAAACTAATATTTATTATTACTTTATTATTACAATGCCTTGGGTCCCATAGTCAGGATCATATCATTGTGCTAGGCTGCGTACAAATGAGTAAAA